GATCGGTAGGAAACATTGGGACTAGGTTTCGTGCTTCTTGTCACACGTCAGCAAGGCGTACCTGCAATCGTAAAGGAGCTCATATCCTTTCTGATATTCAAACTAGGGTCAGACACCATACAACTGAGCCTGAGTAGCGGCAATGGTAACGTCTGTGACTGCGGCATGGAGTGACCCGAGTTTGGATCCCAAAAGAGACATGAGATAATCCAAGATTGCAGATTCGCCTTGCTGAGTGACGAGAAGCACGAAACCTAGTTCTTAGGATTCCTACCGATTGAGTCTGACCATCTTACAATAATTCAGAGTACACCGTGCTGTTCGGCTATATAACATGCAGGTCACATTGCCAACTTGATTGACAATCCATATTGCATCAGTCAAAGGACTAAACACAAGACATTAGCTTATTACCTGGTGTCCAGTCAAAGAGGTGAATACACACACACACCACATTGAGGAAAAGCACAAGTTTTGCACAGCAAATGAGGTTCCCCAAAGGTCCTATGACATGCCTATTACTTGTTACAAATAGCTTATGTCAGGGTTCCTTAAATCCTGCTGTAGACCTTCTTGTTATATACACAATTAGATGCCGAGCGAAGGACGATGTTGTGGGGAAGTGAATGTCGGTAATATATACGGATGGGTTTCCATGAAGGCTTTACAACATAATGGTGTTTCTCCTCTGTACAACAACTGGAATTTCACTGAACCTTCAGTCATGAGTTCAGGTCCGTTTTAAAGATAAGGTGAACTATCATAGCAGTTGACATGATCTGACTGATTTAGATAAGAATTTAGCCGCACTTGTTTTCCACTTACATTGTGATGCGAGTTAAAATTCTTACACCAGTAAGAAATAGGGAGTTACCAAAGCAAAAAACGTAAGTCGGAATTCACTTTCTCCATGAGGTTTAGGCAACGAAGAAACAAAATGTTCCAGTTGTCTAGTCAAACAATTAATTGAAAACACTAAGTTATCAGTGTTTCGAAATAGTTAAAGACAAATCAATACATTCGGTAAACTAAAGTAAAAGTCAATCCTTTACCTTCAGTACATTTTGCTAAAATCCAAGTGCATGTAACTGGAAATTAAACGGTTGTATAGTTAACAGCTATACACATGAAATTTAATCAGAAGTCTACAATGTGGCCGAAAAATACGGAGAACTAATTTCCAGGGCCCCAGAAGTGCGATCGGTCAATTCCTATACGTCTCAAGCCGACATACTTGCTACATTCTGAACCTTGTAACACTAGCACATTCAAAATTAGGTAGCGAATTTCCGTCCCATAAATAATTAATAAACACGACACGAACCTCTAGGCAGACATTATATATCCATCAAAACATGCTAAACTGGTCCTTTGACATCTGCTTACTTTACTAGGTAACATAGCATTTACAGTTAGTTACTTAGTTCTGTAAATCCTTTCAGTATCCTGGAAACTTCATCTACCGCACACTTGAACCAATCGACAAGGATCACTCTTGCATTCGATGAACAACCTAACAAATAAATCTATTTAAAACTTAATTGTGAACAGGAACTTTTAAATATTTTGTTTGACAACAATGTTTTTCACTTCAGTCATTCTAGTTGTCTCAACCAGATTGCTGCTCTATAACCAACGATCATGCGGAAGACAATCACTTTCCTTCCTACGGTGACAAATTTTTAAACGTTCTATATGTGTATGTAAAGTTTCCCAAACACTAACTGTATTTGCCTAGTCAGTTTCTGTCGAACTGACTACAGAAAACCACATTAATGGTTAAAAAATGGTTTACTAGCCTGCTAGAAACCTGAATCCTTGTTCTCGTAATTTTTTTAACATTTGTGCGATTTAACAGCAGGTCACATATTGCCGTAGGCTACAGTGAAGCGTTATGTTACGAAAAACCCTCACGTTTTAACCTAATGGTGATTGTTTAGGTGAACACAATGTGCGTTTACAGCTACGATGAAGTTCAGACCATACTATGCAACCGTTGGACACTTTTTAGTACCAGCGAAGAGCTACTGTTTATTGACTGGTTAGGCATTGTAAAAAAAACAGTCAAGTTGTTTTTAGCGTAGACACAATTTTTTAAACGTTCATTTGAAACACAAATGTAGTACAATATGTGCATTCAGAGAAACACCTCACAAGAATAGAAAAAATAGAAACAGAATGTAAGTCTGAGTCACGGAAAAGCAGTAGCATAATGAATGAAGTCACTTAGGGAAGTGCTCATTAGTTAGTAATGCCTTTTAGAAAAATCCCAGCACGTTTACCAATCACTTTAATTCCCAACCATATCTAATACTCCTTGGGACCAGTGAGTCGAACTCTCGATGCCCACCGAGAGTAATGAAATACCAACAGATTATAACTTAAAACACTTTCCCCACATCCCAAAGCATTCTTACCACGCAGTATGAAGGCCAACAAACAGTGAACGGCACAGCATCTACTGGGATGAAGCTCGTTGAACGCGTTCAATTTACCAAAATAAGATTACTTGATGGACAACCCTTACCATGTCTAAACAGGTAGCTGGCATTAGACAGTCATGTCACTGAGTGAAAGCATCTCTACGGGGACAACGATGATCGAACATCGGTGTCTTCTTAGGTGCCATTTCAAAGATGTGAAATGATCGGTGTGCTTCCAAGAGATGTAAAGCTCGACTCTTGACAAGCAGAAAATTAACGCCTTGAGATCAGACGTGTCCCAAGTGTGTGTACCACCCCGGTGTTTACGATGAGATGCAAAATCTCACCATAACTCCACTAAACTAGCAACCAACTAGATAAATGGACTCGCCTACTACCTCTACTGATTGTGCAATGGCGAGTGAAAGCATCTGCTCCTTTCAATCTTCAACAGCACTTTGTACTTGAACGCAGTAAGTAACATATCACATATCATATTTCTTCAGGAAGCTGATCTTTACCATCACCATTCACATTCATTTAGAATGTAATCAATGGCTAGGATTAAAAGGAACGATCACACTGTGGTACCTTGTCTATATCCACTGATAGTTAAAAAAAAGTGTGGACATGTGGTCGTATGCCCTGAAGTATTTCTGTATGGCACCTTCAAGATGTTAATAAACTTCACACAAACGCTACTCCAGACAGTCCCGTCCTAGGATTTCGAGTTAGCTCAGAAACTAAGACAAATGACTGTTAGCCTGCAATACGTATAACGGTGATCTCAAGAATGAAGGATGGACATGTGGTCCATGTAGTCACGACTATAACGTGACTCCGTCTGCTTTTTTTACTAGTAACTCTACACGTGTACAAAAAAGCTTGGGGGTCACGGCATCACCCCTCAAGTTATGCACAAAAGTAGGTAATATCAAAATCCTTTTCTTCAAACCATCGAGGTGTCCCTTTGGCTAAGGAGCACTAGACTTCCACTAAAAACAGAGGACAGTAAACCGCCTGGGTCGGGTGTTTAAATACATGGAGTTCGTTTCGGACCATCACGTTTTTTGGTGGCCGGTGTTACTTGACCATGGAGCATCATATTCTAGGGCACTAAGCAGTGTCTCTGCATGTGAGCACACTGTCTAGTATTGATTACTAACAATCACCCGGTTCACGGACCGTCACACTGATACCATGTTCTTAGCTGCCAGTAGCTCTGATGAGTCTGAATAGTTGTTGACTGTTATCAGGTGTGGCTGACGGTCCCATCATATTGTGACCATCGGCCTTGGCTCTCTTTCATTTTACTCTTGTGTCATCCTACACGTGAGAGTCTAACGCAGATATGATACCCATTACCCGCCGAAACAGACCGATGTACGTCAAGTTGCAAAGAACTCGCAGTCTGATGGATGAACGTCACTTCAAGTCATTTTTCACACACGAATAGTGAAATGAGTAACGGTAACATTGGGATGGCAGCTCCTAAAGGTTTCTACATGCAGATATTCAGAGACTAAAGTGGTAAAGATAGGCTGAGATTTTTATTAGTAACGAGCTGATGACCATAAGGCCATACATACAAAATGTTAAAAACATAATGGTAGTGAATTATGTATTTGAATATACGGTTCATGAATTAGAAAGCAGGCAAGACAAGTAGTAGGGGTGTTGAGCTTTACGTAAAACTATCGTCTCACATCATATCTCCTGGATATCCACATGTTAGCAGGTAGCCGTTTCAAGTAACATCTCCAAGCCTTAGATCTCAAGTCAGAGTCACAAGGTAGCAAAGTAACATCAGGAGCTGTTTTCCAGTGGGGCCAACACAGGGTTTTTTTTCAAAATGCACTGGAACCGTTTTCCATCGCGATAAAATCCAAGAATCTTTTTGATAACAAGCATACAGTCAACGAATGTGGTCACAGGTTACAATGAAACTAATATGAAATGATGTCTTTCCTGATTCACTCAGTACTGCTGAACCAAACCAGTCGACTCAACTGGAAGTTAGCTGGGAAGTACTGTTTGCATTAGGACCTGGTGTTATAAAAACACTGAAACATTGAGATACTGTATGTGAAGTACGCATAACTATTACACTGATGGCAGAAATGCAATCAGATTCTCAAACAACTCAACATAGATTGGTGGTAATAGGCGCATGCCTTGAATGTCTAAACGTTTTAGATACCTAACTTCACGAGATCATAAATGAAATCTCCTAGCCTCCACGAATCGTTGGTTGGTGTAAACACCAACGAGGAATAGGCCATCGGGAAAGCTTATTAGCACCCAGTAGCGTTATATTTTCCCAAATGGCGTATCGGTCGAAAAGAATGGCGACCATTGCTCTACGTGTGAAGACTAAAACTAATAAGGTGATTAAATACCTGGAGATGACGGCATATATTGGACAAAAATTCTGACTGGATGATTGTTTAGTTTGAATAATTTTGTCATAGAGAATCACATCATTCATTTTTGTAAAATAAATATTTTGGGTACTGTCCCGAAAACGAATGGATCTGCATCATAAACAAATCCCTAATCCGAGTAATGACTAAACCGTATAAATATATATATATATATATATATATCCATTCGTTGATACTTCAAATGAACCAAACTTTTGGGACCCACTCGGATAAATGGACATAGAAACTTACGTAGATGAAAACCACTGTCGATGGCTGAAACAAAAGAACCCATTCCTGTCAGGCTATGGGAAAGCCTGATGTCAGTGTGCACGAACGACCAGTGACATTTCGGCAGTCCCAGGGGGTACACAAATGATTTTTGTCGACGTATAGTCACATGATTTCCACGCCCTATTCATTCTAAAAACATGTTTACACTTATTAGTCGTATCTTCGTCTTCTTCTGAAATCCACGTTGATGCGCTGTGGTCGGTGGCAACTCCTAATTTCGCTAAACGTTTGGGAAATACGAAAACTACAAAGACTTTGTAGTAGTATAAATTTTTGCATAATCCCGTCTTTGCCAGATTACCACGACTCATCGAGTAACGTAGGAAGTCTGTTGCAGTTAGTTAGAACATTCAACAATTTGATCACATCGGGCCACGAAACAGTTCGTGTCCTTCCGAACTAGTGGGGAGCCATATATACATAGTGATTAGTAGAGTTCCTTTAGATCTTGATCGACATTAATTACAAAAGAGTACAAAAAACAAAACCCAGTTTACAGATAACGCTTTCTTGGTTTTAATGGAAATTATGCATGGAACTACAATTTTGGGTTCGTACCAGCATGGTACGAATGCAGAAGAAAGAAACAATATTGCAGGAGGCTGTACAGGAACAAAGTTGACAGCCCCTTAGTAAAAAGTCGATAAAGTAATTGGAAAACAACACAAGGTCTCAAATGTTGCTCGTTATCATTTAATAATTTCCGTGGAAACTTGGGGCCCATCCACTACCCCAATTGGACGTAGACGTGTCTGTACCCGGAGCAGATGGTGCAGCATATGAATATGGATTTGCAGCAAAACCCGGCCACTGCTGTACGTACTGTGGGGCATTTGTTGGGGGGCAGCTTTGTTTGGGGTTCCCCATGGAACCTCGAGATCTAACACCTGATATGGGCATGTCACTGCTGGGATTCATGAGACTGACATGAGATGAAGATGGATCCATAAGAGTTGGTCGCTTATGACTCTGACCAACAGGGCGCTGAAATGAACCTCCGGTGGCTAATGCGTCGCTGGCTGATGGATTCCAGTGCTGTTGGACCTGACCGACACCGGTGCCCCAATGATTAGCGGGCCACTGATCAACAGTTTCACTAACTGTACTTGAATTCTGAGCTAGGGATACGGACGCAGCCATTACAGAACCAACTTTATCTGTGCTAGCTGTGCGCCTATCCCACTTTCCTGTCTCTGTTACGTTTGTTACACTAGGTTTCAGATAGTTAGTCTCACTGTGACGATTATCATTCACAGGAATAGACTGTGATAATCCTCCATACGCAGGTACCTGACTAGTTGGGACACTACCCAACACAGTTTTGCGACCACTACTAGGCTGGTCGCTAGAAACGGATTTGAACGACCCAGGAAACGAGTTCTCAGCAGCTGAATTTCCTTTATTCATTAAAGACGAGCCATTCGGATATGCAACTCCGGAGTTGACAGCTCTTATATCTTGTGTTGGAAAGCTTGACATATTTCCAAAGCCAGTTACACGACCAGGTGGCTTTTGTTGAAAGGCTGAGGGATCTATAGAACATAAGGTTTTTGCGAATTTACTTTTCATTACAAAATAATCCATAGATTAAATCTGCATCGGCTTCCCATGCCGACCAGTGAAAAACTATAAATAACACAGTTTGAACTGATTTCATGAAATACTGATTTATGACTTCCCTTGAATATCATTTTCCGTCTCCCTAAGTGTCACTTAAGTGCTCAACAACTCTCCACAAGTTAAAGCAGAAACGTGTGCAATTTTAGAATTGCAGTTTTTCGTTGCATTTAATGAAAAACGAAATAGAAGCCAAAGAGGTGAGTCTGTGAACCTGATGAGAGCGATTCGGAACTTCTGCATACTGATAAGATTGCCGTATATAAGTTGTTTTGTCAGCCACGTACACATCAAGTCTATTCCAGGATACATCGAGAACAACTTTAGAAGTTGCTTTTCACGACCAACTACGAAAAACGTACAGATACTATAAGTACTAAAGCATTACTCGTCTGTCGGAAGTAAATGCTTACTGTAATCTGTATAGTCTGCTTCCAGCTTATAAATGTAAATGACGAATAAAATACCCACACAATTTATACTATAGGTAGTCCGCGGACACCGCAGAAAAGCATGACTGCTTATGGTAATGCTGGCGAGAATAGCCTAGACAATTCACAGCATGGCACTAGGATACATTCACAAATCTTGAATGTAGTCATCACTTAACAACTTGGCTATGATTGATCCAACAACTGATTGGATCGAAAACCCAACTGATAAGGTTGTGGGTAATCTGAAGTCCTCAGACTTCACAAAATTAAACCCGAAATACAAGACGTTGTTTGGGTGTAAGTTATAACCACATAGATAACATTGTTCTAAATGGTGTATGCTGAACTTGTTAGCACACACGCGCTTAGAAGTAAGCTATGTAATAGGTTTTACGGGCGATGAGGCTTGCTAAGAGCAACTTATGAAGCTTCATCTATCGTGTCTGTTTTGGGGATATTTCAGGTCACTTGACCCCGATTTGAGTTATCGCAGTTTCAAAAATGAAGACTGAGTGCAATCAAATGTTATGTCACAAAGTACTTACGTTTCTTGATCGCCCCAGACTTTCGCAGATAATTGGACATTCCCGCCAGCTGAATGAGCTCCTGGCTGATTTCTTGGTTGGCTTCGTCTAATATTTCGATAAGTTCGCGAGCTTGTCTTGAGTTTTTGTGAGTGAAAAAAGTAAATGCCGTCCCCGTCTTATCACTACGTGCAGTGCGACCTATCCGATGAATATAATCTTCAGTTTGGTTGGGGAAATCAAAGTTCACCACGTACTCTATATTGTCAATATCTAAAAAAGAGAACAATCTCGTGAGTGGGGAGCGCAAAAAGAGAACCAGAAGTTTCAGTAAGAGAATTCAAACCTACCAAGTCCTCGAGAAGCTACGTCTGTGGCCACCAGTATATTGATCCTACCGCTTTTAAAACCTTAAGACATGACTTTATGTGTAAATCATACTTACCAGCCAGTGTTAATTCGCGGTCTCTTTGCTGCTTACCACCATGCATTGACTCAACATAGAACCCGCGACGACGCAGGGAATTTGCCAGTTGATCAGTTCGGCGTTTGGTTTCAACAAATACGAGAGTCCTAGCTCTGCCAAAACCAGCTAGAAGCGTGATCAGTCGCTGCTCTTTGCTCCAATCATCCATTATTTCGACTATTTGAGTAATATTCGGGTTGGCGTGCAGTGAGGCTGAACCGATGTTCACCTGGATGTAGTCGGTAAGAAACTCCCTCGCTAGAGTTTGCACTTCTCTCGGCCAAGTAGCAGACCACATAAGTGTTTGACGATCCGGTCGTATATGACTTATTATCTTTCTGATTTGAGGTTCAAATCCCATATCTAGCATTCGATCAGCTTCATCCAAAACTAGATAAGTAACACGTGAGAGCAAATTTCTGATGGCGTTAGTGTCATAAAGAGAAATTACCTTTGCGCTCTTATGAAATCAATGAGACGGCCAGGTGTAGCTATGCAAATTTCCCCGCCTCTTTGCATTTCACGAAGCTGAGTGCCTTTAGCAGAACCACCATAAAAGCACATCGCTCGCAGACTCGCTGCATCTGCGAAATCCTTCGCCACAGTAAGCACTTGTTGTGCAAGTTCCCTCGTAGGAACGAGTACCAGACATATTGGCCCGTCGTTACGCATCAATCGAGGCTGCGCCATGATGTGTATGACAGCTGGCAGTAAAAAAGTAGCCGTTTTCCCAGAACCTGTTTGTGCTATCCCAACAACATCGCGTCCAGAGAGTGCCATTGGCCAACCCTGCGACTGAATAGGAGTCGGAAGCTGCCAACCATTTTTGGCGATGACACTAAGTATGTAATCAGGTACGTTCAGCTCATTGAACGACAGTACGGGACGTGGAACATCCCTCCCCGAAAGCGACATTTTGTACTTCTTACGAAATTCCTCAACGTCTGCCTCAGATCTAGAGGCTGACAGTGGGTGTTCCTGGTAGAAGTGCTTTTCAAACTTGGTCAGCTCAATGCTTTTCCAATCCGGAGCGGCGAAATCCATGTCCATGTCTGACTTTCCACGTTTAATATTCTGACTGGAAGGTGCCCACCTGCAAGTCCCTCAAAATAAGTTCATAACAAACATACCTTCTAATAGGAGACCTAGAATCCTGAAACCTGCCACCAACCCTAGTCATATTGTTGCAATGGCGCCGCGCTGCAGACTAAACACAGAAGTTAACAACTAAAACAAAACGAAAATTACTTCATTATCTAAAGTCTCATAATAGTTCCCCGAGAATATTACCTCCGCATACATCCGAATGTTTCACAAAGTACTATCATTTCGGAAAAATTAAAAGGTGAAAAGCATTAATTATTCAGCGTGTACTTTGGAAATGCTGGATATTACTTATGTGAGGGTAACATTGATACATTCTAACAGAGTGCAATCCCATATTGGGTGGTTTTATTTAATATAACAGATAATAACACATCTGTGGAGACCCTGTATAACCGTGACTTGTATCAAATGACAGGCAACTTAAATGTGTGCGCGCAACGGACCCACCACTTATTGAACTCCCAAACTCCAAATGGTGTCATTTCACCGTAGGCCACACCAAGCATTTACTTGGTGGCATCTGCCGATCTCCCACCTGTGGGCAGAGCACAATCAGCTACTGCTGAGCACTATCACAGGGATACGAGACTTGGGCTATCAGCAAATCACCCCATCACTGAACTTTCGACAGCAGATATGCTGACTCCATTATTGCAAAAGGTCTGGAAAGAGGGAAAGGTGCCTACTGACTGGAGGAAAGGTTACCTCGTGAAACTACCAAAGAAGGGCGACCTGGGACTCTGCAAGAACTGGCGAGGAATCATGCTCCTGTCGACGCCAAGTGAAATCCTGAGTCGCATCATCCTGGAGAGAATAAAGGACGCACTGGATACAGAACTCCGACCAGAACAAGCTGGATTCAGGAAAGGCAAATCATGTTCTCACCAAATTGCAACTCTACGCATCATCATCGAACAGAGCATGGAATGGCAATCAAACCTCTACCTCAACTTCATAGACTTTGAGAAGGCCTTCGACAGCGTTGACCGCGAAGTAATTTGGAAACTACTCAAGTACTACGGCGTACCCCAAATATTCATCAATCTTATTCAACAGCTATACGACAACAGCAAATGTCAAGTGATCCACAACGGAAAACTCAGCGAAGCGTTTGGAGTAAACACAGGAGTCAGATAAGGGTGCTTATTATCACCAATGATATTCCTAATTGTGGTGGACTGGATTATGCGTCAGACAGTGGGAAACGAGAAGACAGGGATATCCTGGACCGACGTGAAGAATCTAGAAGACCTGGATTTCGCGCGTGGATGATTTATGTTTGATGTCACACAAAATCGAAGACTCATAAGCGAAAACCGACAAACTGGTCGAAGAAGCAGCAAAGACAGGACTCCACGTGAACATATACAAGACGGAGGTTATGAAAATAACCAACCAACAACAACAACAGCAGCAGCAACATCCACCGCCAATCACCATCAACGGGAGGGATTTGAAAGAGGTTACTTCATTCACTTATCTAGGGAGCATTGTCTCAACTACAGGCAGGTGGATCGGACGAGGATGTCAAATCGAGAATCGGGAAGGCGAGAAACACATTCATCAACCTGAAACCAATCTGGAAATCTTCGTCACTCAACCCAGCCAGCATCAACAACAAAATTCGGATTTTCAATACAAACGTCAGTCAAGTCAGTCAGTTCTTCTGTACGGATGGATCAGAAACTTGGCGGGTCACAAAGAATATTTCCAACAGCCTGTTGCAGACCTTTATCAACAACTGTCTTCGTTCTATACTCAAGATCAGATGGCCGGAAAGAATCACCAACAAGAAACTATGGGAACAAACAAAGCAAGAACCAATCGCTCAACAAATATGCAGGAGAAAGTGGAGATGGATTGGACACTCGCTGAGGAGGCCGTTGGGTGACATCGCGTGTCAGGCCCTCGAGTGGAACCCGAAAGGGAAGCGGCGAGTGGGACGTCCAAGGGTGACATGGAGGAGATCGTGTGAAGAGGAGTTGAAACAGTATGGACTAACATCGATGCAGGTGAAAAGTACAGCAGAAGACAGAAGCAAGTGGAGAAGTGCAGTTGAAGCCCTATGTTCCACTAGGAACCCAAGGGAACAATAATAAAATAATATAATATATCACTGAACTTTGGCTTGGAGCATGCTAAGGGAAAACTTGGCCGATATCTACTGCAAACTATTCGAAACACGGGACTGACTGAGAATGTTGGAGACGACACTAGGTGGGGCCCTAGTGGAAAGTCATCAAAACTAGACTACATTCTAACTAGTGACCAACTACTCGTCGAAAAGGTCCTGATCATGACTCCTCTAGGAAGTAGTGATCATTCAGTAATAGGTTTCGATCTCGCTCTTCGTGAGCATTTGCAGTGGGACGTTACGCGACCGTGTCTGTGTTACAGCAAGGCTGACTATGCTGAAATGCGGAGGCTCTTGTCGGACGCAGACTGGCCCTCAGCATGGAATCAACTATCTATGGATGAACACTGGGAGGTGGTAAAAAAGATTATTCATGCAGTAATCTCGGATACCGTCCCTTTAGTCACAACACAGCCCAAAAGAAAGTCATCATGGTTAAAGAGAGGCACGCAACGTATTCTGCAAGCAAAGCGAAAGGCTTGGTCTACGTGGCGCGTACAAAAGAGTCAGATCGACCATGATGCATACCTGGAACTCAGGAACCGGTGTAATGCAAGAGTCAGGAGGGACAGGTCATTCCAGGCTAACCTTGCTAGAAAACTCCTAGCAAACCCCAAAAACTTGTACCGATTCATGTCGGAAAGAAAACCAACTAACTAGGGGCATGCGCCTTAGTAGGCTCAAACGGTCAATATCTCACTAGTCTGGAGATGGCTGAAACATTCAGTTTAGCCTCCGCCAAACAGCTAAACAGCAATGTGGGTATTACCGTTACGGACCAAAATGGTGGCACCACTATTTCACAGGAGGAAGACCTAGTGGCTACTCCCCAAATAAACCCGGCAATAGTACTAAGGAAGCTACAGCGACTCACACCTGGGAAGTCCCCAGGTTGTGACGACATCAGGCCATCTGTTCTGAAACAGTGCGCCGAAGCTCTCTGTAGGCCCTTATGCGACTTGTTCCAACACTCGATGGATTCGGGGAAACTGCCAAGGGAATGGAAAAGAGCCATCCTTTCACCGATCTTCAAGTGTGGGGATAGGCAAAATGCCACTAGTTATAGACCAGTAGCTATACTCCCAGTGGTATCAAAAGTCCTGTAAGGTATTATTGACGATCACATCAGGGAATATCTCGATAGGTCTAATATACTCCATGAAGCCCAACACGGTTCCAGGAAAGGGAGATCCTGCGTTACTAACCTACTATCAGCGTGGGACGATTGGACATCATGCTGGGATATGAATGTTCCAGTCCATGTGGTGTTCCTAGACTTTGAGAAGGCATTCGACACTGTTCGCCATGACCTTCTCCTACACAAAATAAGCCAGGCAGGTATAGGTAAGTCACTTCTGTCATGGTTAAAGGACTACTTAGCTGTAAGGCAATTTTGCACTGAGGTCGATCGAGTCCGATCATCTTGGCACAGCTCGTCATCAGGAGTGTCGCAGGGTTCTATCCTAAGACCACTGATTTTTTTATTTTTATCAATAACCCACTATGCCGTCTAAGCTGCCCGACTCTTCTATACGCTGACGACGTAAAGATATGGAGGGCGATAAAGTGCCCGGAGGACTCAGATAGGCTACAGGAAGATCTAAACCTTCTGGAAGACTGGGCGGTGGCCAGTGGCATGACTTTCAACCTGAAAAGGTGCAAAGTAGTGAAGTTACGCACCTGTAGACTGCAGAATGCAAGTTACACCCTATGCAATGAAAGCTCGTCCTGCACAACGTCGTAACGCGACTTAGGTCTAGTTCTAACGGAAAAAATGGACACAAGCGTAAATTACATGGGGGATATAGCGAGGTCATATTCGGTCATACACTTTACACATAGACGGTTAGGTGCACTCCTGAGCTCTTTGTAAGGTTGTACAAAACATACGTCAGACCACACCTTGAAGTGTATAATATTATTGAACTCCACTGCTTAGAAGAGACGCCAACCCTTGGGAAAGAGTCCAACGACGGGCAACAAAAGGAGTGGTTGGTCTCCGAAATAAACCATATGATGAAAGGCTGAAGAAATTAGGCCTATTCACACTTAGCTACCGTCGTCTTAGGAGGGATTTGATTACTGCCTACGAAATAACAAATGACCAGAATCACCCAAACAAAGGTGTTCTGTCATTGAATAGGTATAGGCTCCCTCGTGGAAATCCCAGAAGGATAGCTCATCAGAGGGCAAGGACCTGGGTGGGTTTGCCGTCCCTGGAATTCCTTACCGGCAGATGTAGCTATGGCACCGTCTGTGGACGCCTTTAAGCGAAGGCTGGACAAACATGCATCGACACAAAGACTGCATCCAAATGGCCTATCCCCTTAAAATCACATACACCACTCAGGGGTAGAGAATTAAACTTTTCGTCTTACTTCTTTACATTCTCTCCCGTCTTACTCTCTTCTGACAACTTTAACTACACCTATTATTATTATCATTATTACCGATATATATATATATAATATATATATATTATTCTTCAAATTTAATCGGCTGACTGTTGTTACGTTTTCTTATTCTTTCTCTGTCTGTTAGTTTGAATAACTTCACTAATTATATCTATTATTATTATCTCTTTTCTTATGACGACGATACCGGGGGACTAACTGGTGAAAGGATCAACTCCATTCACAGTAGTAACAGTCCTAAAACACCTCATACTGCGAACCACATATAACTAATCCCAGCACTACTCCTTTTGGAGTCAACCAAGGCTACGACAGTCAAGTGGCGGGACGAGCTACGCAGAAGTTTACCTAAGATCAGGAACCTATACCTCACAATCAAGAGGCGAGCACAAAGAAATCAAATTGGTTTATACTAGCTCATAAAAAATATATTGGATATCGGATCTGAAATGGTATTGTCCATGATGTCGTGGATGACAGCGGAAAGTTACCTGCAGTTAAATCCATGGTTAGGCAATTATTTGCTGAGTTTCAATTCAAAGCAAATGATTTCTCCCTGTAATCGTGATA